TTAAAGCAAAAAAGGAAAGTTTGTAAATCAGTTAGATTTTAGAGAACTACTTCTATTCTACATACAGCCCAGAAGGGCAGAAAAACTGCCTTATGGGAACTATCGCACAGACATCAAATAATGTACCATTATACTTCTGGACTAGTCAATGAGATGATTGAGAAAATGTTTAGACATTGAAACTAAAGCCTGCTTGCCAACACTTCTGATAGTAGTATTGTAATATTAGTAGCAGCCAGTGGGGAGAAAAGAAATCCATTTAAATTTATCTGCATTATCTGACCAAGATCAGTATGACTCTCCAGCTGCTTCCAAGCTTTCAGATCTCCTGAGATCTGTGATATTCAAACCAACATCTGAATGAGTAGAAAATGAAGGCAGGTAAGTAACATAGCTAAGGAGATATTTCATTATCAATCTATCAATGAACATCTTAACTCTTCAGATAGCCAATAAATAGATAAGTGCATATAGAAGGACAGTGATCACTACATTTACCATAGCATAACCTTGTACTCTTTGCTAAGTGACAGAATTTATAACTTTATGCCTAGAACTTCAGTTACCAGTCCACACTGGAGCACATTTGCTCATACAACAACTGTGACTGCCAGAGCAACCATGCTGGCAGTTTATGTGCAAAATAATCCTCCTATGTCTATACACAGAGGTCTTAGCACTGCGGTAAAGACAGGATTTGACAATTCATCTTGCTTCTCATCACTGAGTTAAGCTGGGCAATCAACGGTAAGGCAGGCTTCACATTTAATAAACAGTCAATAGCCATAAGTTTTAGACATACGAAGAGATAGAGTATCTGACATCCTCACATGTACAGTGGGATAGAAGTCAAAGGTTTGTACACCGGTATTAGAGGCAAGAGTGGAGCGGAACAACTAAATTCTCTGTACAATTAAGTTGCTTCATAGATCAGGGAGGTCACAAGAGTCCACTGGGATAAAAGCGCCTCAGCCCTAGCACTGCAAGGGAGCCGTTGCTCTGGGCACTGAGGCATTTCCCAGCGAGACTCCTGTGTCACCAGTTCACTGCTGCTCATCACCAGTGGGATATGCAAGTTTGCTCACATGGATGCTGCTATTTTATTTCACTGAATTTTGGTGCAAATGAGTCTTAGGATTTCTACAGTTCCTTTTTGTTTCTGTGCTGAGTCTCTACATGCCTGCGCAAGGAGCTGAGCAGACATCTTCACTCCTCAAATTTCCAATGGTTTTAAGTGCAGCGCTTTTTTGGGGCCAGCTGACAACTAGATTACCTGTTATGGTATTTCTTCAGAGTTCACGACACTTGCATTTCCACCTGTATAATAAGGCAGAAGAAGTCTAAATAGACACAATCTTTCAACCCAAAGTGATGTGGATACTGTACAGCATGCTTCGCATAAACCTGAAATATACACTAAGACAGGATGTTAATTCCGTTTTATGACTGCTGATGAACGCAAGACATAGAATATATGTACGTTCACCCTAGAATATACATTAATAAATCTCACAAGTGTTTTAAGGAACTCAAATGACAGAAAATGGAAAATATGAAGGTTTTCTAATTATTTTCAAAACTGATGATTGTTTCAGTGTTTCAGTTTCGTCCTAGGAACTGGTTATGATGAAAAATGTTAAAATATAAGTCAGATATTGCAGGATTAAGCTGCAGTTGCTTTATTTCTAGGGTCAGTTGAATCAGACTGCCTACCCGTTTGTATGAAAAAGGTGGTTCTTGTTTTGTAAGCCTCATGACCCTCAGGTAGCTTTACCTCCTCCCTGCAGCAGGGATGGCAACTGCCAAAAGAAGAGCCGAGAAGTGAGGAGCACTTTCCGCCGTACCTGCTAATCCTGTCAGGGTAGTCAAAATGCTCAGCAGAAAAGAGAGTAAAACCATCTGTGTTAAGGAGCAGTAGAACGCCGCAGCAATTTGACCTCAAAAACTAAAGGGCAGGGTAAGGAGAGAAGGAGCAGCAGTAAGAGGAAACCCACAAGTATCCCAGTGCTGACTTGTTCAGGGGAAAGGCTCCCTGCAACCAGTAGCATTCAGCAGCAAGAATATCAGCTGTGAAATTATCAGATGAGCATAGCTTTTAAGACCATTTTCAGAATTGTATTTAAAAGCAGCTGGTCCATCCTTCCTGTCTCTTGCACTGTATTTCTTTTGTTTGTTTCAGGACAGATAGTTGACACTCATTTCAAAGCCTCGTTACAGGAAAAATAAGACCCGCAGCAGGTAGGATATGGGAAAATAGACCTGAAAATTGACCAAAAGACAGGAAATAAAGTGTTCCTTTACGTCCCTAAAGCACTTAGTCCAGTAAGTATTCCTCAAAACACACTTACAGAATTGGGCTTCATAAAAAATGACTGCTACCCTTTTCCTGATGCATCAGACGAGTGCTGGTGCTCTCCTTGTCAACCTGCAGCATTCACTGCAGAAGTGGCAGACCCCAGGCCGCATCCTTTCTCTGTTTCACAGCATTCAAATCTATGTCCGCCCCTCACTAGATCATCCTTAAGGCCAAGCTGCAGGCTTTGCTGAAGCGAGAAGCCAGGAGTCCTGAACGGAGAAAAAGCGTAAACTGTTCTTGCATGAGGAACCAGCATCCAGGCATCCCTTCCGCCTTCATTATGCAGAAGATAAGCAAGACAGTACGAACACCCAATTAAGGATGCTAAATGAAATATTACGATCCTGTGACATAGTTTACAAACCCATCTGCAGAAAGTTATAGCACTGCATTTTTGTAATTAATTATTATTTATTTTTACTACAATAAGAAGTAATTATACCAGGCACTAGACAGCTCATAGTGAAAAAACAGTCTCTGCTCCACAGAACTTAAAGGCTAAGGAAAACTCTCTCTTTGCACTGAAGACATTGGCAGTACTTTCTTTAGGGTTGATCCTTCAGGTACTTATGTCAGTATTTTCAGGGTCATGTCCCTCAACTTCTCCAAATAAATAAAAAGCCCTGGCTGGTACAAGGAACTTGAGAATGTGAAAAGTGTTTTTAATTTCAGGCAAGGCTTCTGTTAGCCAGAAGTTACTCAAACTGTGTTTTAGAAAACAATCCATAAAACCTGCTTGGTTAGTTAATAAGGGGGTATTGCAGTGAGCCTGCAAAACACAAAGGGAACTTTGATTACAAGCTGGTGTGACAAAATGAGCTGTATTAGTAAAAATGAAGCTGAGCATTTCTATTTTTGCTGTGCTAAAGACTGCAATTGCCCAAAGCATGATTGTAATATCTGAAAGATATTTCATAGAGGGTGTGGGAATAAGACGTTATGAAATCTGTGAATGGTCTAGCATCTGCTGCTAAGAATGCCTGATGATTGGGTAATGACGGGAGAACTACCCGTGTTTAATGTAAAGATGTGAGAAGAGACAGCTTATATCCTGTCTGAACTCTTAGGAGTAAAGGCTTTGCAATTTGCTAGCACAGTGTTTTGCAGAATAGTTTCCTGATACCTCAATCGAATTCTTAAGTTCTTGTGTAACAGAGTAATAATGATTAACTGTACAGTATGTGAGCTGCAGAACAAAAGTATATGCTAAGAGAAAGATAAATAAGCAACTGTAGAGGAGTGCAGTAATCAATAATTTGAAAATTGTACTAAAGAGAGAAGTAGTTTCAGAGCAAAGAAAAAGCTTCTGACAGAAACATGACATTAACTCTTAACTAGGTTAATCTACATGATGTTTAGCTGCTTCACTGTTTGATACTCTTAAATAGTAGGATTTGCAATAGGTCTATTAATCAAAGTGATGGAGGAATAAAATCTTGACATACAGCCAGGAAGGCATCAACTCAATATCAAAATCATAACATTTTAAGTTAAAGCCGTCTATTTGGACTTTGGAAATGTTTAGACTACACAACCAAAAGTTAGAAACCAAACATTTGAACTAAACTGATAACAAGTGATCATTAATTAAGACTGAAGTCAACAATCTGGCACTGAAGACATTTCTAAGACACTGAGCCAAGAGCCTAAAGATGTCCAAAGTCGGTTCATAATAATTTATCATTAACGCAAGAGGAGATAAGCTCATTAGAAGAAGCCAAATGTGGATAACAAGGAACTATAGGCAGTTAATGTTAACTTCTCTTCTGAGGTGGAGGCTAGCAGGGACTCAGGATTTAGGTAGTTTAGGACAGTTTTTATGACTGGATGAACATTATTTCAGGGCTGAGGCTACTATTACTGCTGTTTTTGAAGATTTATATTGAGAAGCCAGCTAACAAGCACCATCAGATAGGACCCTGTTGTGCTTGGTTGTATCCCGACACATATGCAAGAGAGTCCTTGCTACCCCTATCTTTTAGTCTAAAACCAAGATTTTACCAGTACATAAGATGAACAAACTGGGTAATAAAGTAACAAATACAGTGGGATGTGCACAGTTCACAGCTATCCGGCAGCAAAGATCTCAGTGGCCAGGTTACGAGCAGACTATGCTCTGCCGAGTGCTGGATCTTTTCAAGGGACAACCCACAGGCTGCTGGTGGCCTGCAAGACACAAAGGAGTAGATGGCAAAAGCAACAGTTGCATGTACTGCCAGCTCGTCCTCTGCATCTACTTTTGCCCTGTGCAACAGCTATGAATTTCTTTTATCCTTCCTGTGGCCTTCAAAAGCTTGTTGAAGAGTACTGTTGAGCATCAGTTAGAAAACATAGGTGGGGAGCTGAAAGAGGACTGCGTACCGAAGGACTGATGGATTTTTCTTTTGAACTTTTCTCCTTGCAAGCTGTAGACCTGGAGAGAGGCTAAAAGGCTGTATACGACGTATATAGGCTTTTCGCATGGTGTGCTGTGCATCCTCCTGCTTCTTTCGCCGTGGCTGCGTGGCAGGTCCCTATGGAGCTGCTGGTTGTGCCCGAGCAGATGCTTGCGGTGCTGCTGGATGAATGGTTTGGACCTGGGGGTGGCCCCAAATTGTCCGCGTAGATGTTTGCAGCACAGCTCTGGCAACGCAAGCGGTGGGCGATGGCGGCTGGCAGGCAGCAGGGTGAGGCGACGTGGGAGGCACCCCTGCGGCAAGGCGGACACGAGGCAGGACAAAATAACAGGCCGCGCTGTTGCAAAGCGATGAGCAAACCAGGATGTGTTCTGACCGCGCAATGCTTGTCGTGCAGTACCCTCTGCGTGAGGTCTCCCACGAAAGACCGAATATGCTCTCCTCCCTCTGCCCTGCGTAGTCTCAGCCAGCCGTCCTTGAGTAAGGCCTTCAGAGTCTACCCCAAATCCGTTCGAAAAATGTTAGTCCCCAAACTGTGTGTTAGTTCCCACTCCTCACACTACTGTCCTTCACGCTGCTTCTTACAAAGGCCCTGAGGCAAACCGAGCTCTGCGTCGACCCGAACTGCGGCCAGAAGGGGAGACGCCACGGCCGCCTGGCTTCGAAACGCGCCTTCGCACGTTCCCCAGCGGTAAGCAAGTCCTGCAGTACCCCTGGCCTGCACCGCAGATGGCGGTGTGCGGTTATTTTCCTTGGTATCCTTACGTGTCAGCTGCTTCCTTGATGTGTGCTAGAAAACTACTGCCTGCACTCAGGAAACAGCAGAATTGACAACATGTGAGACTATATTCAAGCGCTATTAATTTCATTTCTGGAACAGGAGCATCTGTTAAGTGGTTGCTGTAAACTTTAGTATATCATAAATCCAGTTGTTTTTGTAGGTCTGATCCCAGAAGAAATCTAAGTGAAGAGACTGAAATGTAGATAAGCAAAAGAAAATTTCCTCAGGCTGTTACACATAAGAATAATAAGTAATACTTAGAAGTAAACTTCTTAATTCCCTAAACACATGACTACATTCAGCTTATGTGAATATTTTTAGTCAAATCCAGAAGCTAAGTATTTTAAGTCAACATTGCTGCTCTCCGAAATAACTAATGTGTTCACCAAAACGTTTTGTGAGTCTACTCTCAGTTCTTTAAAGAGTTAGTCCACGTTAGGTCCCGTGCACCACAGAACATAGTCTGCACTTGGGCCATATTCAAAGACATCTTCCTAAATTACTCAATTTTTTTCTTGAATAGCAATCAAACCTTATAACTGCACCACGGCGATGCTCTAAGTTATGAGGGGCGAAATGTGGTTATGTTTTGTTTGGTTTGTTGAAAGGGGGCAGCAGTGCAAGACAGGGGGCTACTATCCCCCTGCGCCCCGCCGGCGTCCCCAGTGCTCCTTATGGGCGCTGCCAGGCGGAGGGCTCTGCGAACAGGGCTCGTGAGACAGGCAAACAGCGCGGCCGGGTTTGGAAGAGCTGTAGAGAGACCTCAACGAGGCAGGCGAGTGGGCAAATGAAGTGCAGTGCCTGCAAATACCATGTAATACAGTTTAGAGTGGCACATTCAGATTTCGTTTTACAGGACTTTCATTTAATCATATTATTTCAGAAAAAAAGTGCACCTCAGTGAAGACATCTGCTCAATGTTCAGCTTCTGCCAAAAAAACTGCAAGCAGAATATTTTGGAAATAGTATCCTGCTCTAGGATTTGAGTTAAAGCCAATTCCCAACTATTGCTAATCCAAATGTTTCAAACCATTGTATATTGGGCTCCCCAGATAAGCTCTCCTTTCTGCACATAAATTTTATGGGGGTAAATTTCAGGATAATGGACTTCCGACCAGAAATTCAGAGTATTTCTTCTGCACACACCCTGATCAGCCATGTGTGAAGCAGCTAGTGGTGGCCAGACGCAGAGAGGACTACCGATTAGGTGAACAGCGGGATGGATCTCATATGGAAACGCATCATATCAGGAGCAACAAGTAGCTGAGTACGACTTGCAGCAACTCTGGAGCTGCTCAAAACAGAGCCAGATTGAACCTGTCCCTGCCTGGCCCTCGCCTGGGGGAAGCAAAGGTAGAGAGATCTCCATTAAATTCAACCCACTTGCAACCAGAACAAGAAATATAGGTCCTTAAGCTCACCTAATCCTTCATTCACTGTTTGGATTATCATAAATACGGATTTAATTTATGTCACTAAATGCTAACGTTTTCCCTGTAGTGTTTTATGTATTTTGAGAAATGTGCTGTACATATGAAGTGGAGAGAGCATTATTAAGAGGCCATAACAAAGGCAATGCAAATATAACACAAAATGAACAAAATATAGCTATCTGTTATGTATGTGAAATGATAGAAACACAAAACCCAGAGTGTCCTTCTTCTGGGAAGATGTAAGCTGAGGAAGCAGGATGTGGAGGACGCGAGCCACAGGAACTGTGGGAACGCTCCCGGGTTCAAAGATGCTTATTTTAGCCCATATTTTTTAGTACTGTATAGTGGCTATTTACCGGCCAGAACAGGTGAGTAACAG